ACAAGTGTGATCGCAGTCATGTTCATGGCGAGTCTAGAGGCCAGGACCTTAAGGACAGTGAAAACTATTCAAATGCCATGACTGATTGCATCCACATTGATTGGAAAAGCTTTTGCGATAGGCGTTCTAACTATGCAGCTTGTGCACAACAACAATTTTCGTGTGACCACAAACACGTTTGCACTCGCAAAACTGAACAAACTAACGCATTAGCTGCCTGCTGCATTCTCGCGGCAGAGTTCTGCGCGCCGGACATGGAAGCCACCAACGCTGGAATCGTTGCTCCGACGGAGGTCCTGCGCCAGTGGTGGGATCGCCGGTTATGGGAGACTTCATTGTCTTCCGAATACCGCACCATGGCGCCTTTCCAGGAGGATGAAGCCAGCGTGAACAACTTCTACAAGTATTTGCCGCGGCCACTGGCATGCGAATATGCCCTCAGTGACGTCAGGGAGGCTGGTTTGGTGGCCAAAATCGGAAAGCTCACCGATCAAGGCTTGGCCATGCTCCAGCCCGAGTCTACTCGAGGCCGTTTGCGCTACCTTGTCATCGTCGCAGACTCTACAACTACGTTCCTCACTGAAGGAAATTGGAAGACAGATCTGCTGGCAGACATCAAGGCCAACCGCGGCAATGCCTTCCCACATCATCTTGGCGTTGAGTACATTCCTACATGGGGTGCGAATCTCACGCGGCTCGTAGAGCTCGCCGTGGGAAAAGTCACCCAACTGGAGCGTGAATCTGGCGCCAGTGGTCAGGTGAGCATTGACCTCATGATGATCTGGAACGGGAACGAGTTCGTCGGCGAAAGAGGTCTGTTTTTGGACCCAGGCTTCAAGAGCAAGACGGAGTGGCTTCGTGGTTACCCGCACATGGCAAAGGGGAGCTGGGAGTTCATTGGACCAAAGGTTCTCCGGGAGATAGGCAAGTTGGCGGATCTACAGTCACGGGCGTCAGTGGGTACTGTGCTGCTCACGTCTGCGACCGACGCTGCCAACTACTGCCTCCCGCGCGACTGGGGTACCATCATGGCGGATTTGCTCGACTATGCCGCCCAACTTGGGCTGGCCGTCAAGCATTTCAATACGCCTGCAAGCCAGATCCGCAAATTCGATCATTTTCACTTCCAGGAGGACAGCGCCTATCGTTTGCAGCTGTTGAGGTGGTTGGGTTTTACCGCCAGGATTATGGTCCTTCGTCACCAATGCTCCTTCTTCAAGGAAGCTGACATCGACCTGATCCTGCAAAACTACGGCCACGTCTCAAAGCCTAACGTCAAGTTCGCTGTGGACGTGCAGGTGGAGGAGAAGCTCCTGAATCACTTCCGTAAAGGAAGAGTAGCGCCCACACATCAGCCGCTTGTCGAGGCTGACCCGTGGGACGACATCTACTTCCAAGGACCCCAGGAGCAGTTCCCCGACACCGCGCCGAACCACTTTGTCCACCGGGACTTCAAGGACCACGTTCACCTGGGAGATGGGGAATATGTTACCCGCGAGGACTACGACGAGATGATCAAGAAGAGCGAGGAAAATGCCCCCCGTCCAGGGGAGGCCGTCGTTGTTCCGTCATCGTCGTCAACGGCGCGGGAGACTAAGGAGAAGCTTTTGGCCAGGGGGGAGGTCTACAGTCGTCAGCGGACCGACCCTGAGTCCAGTGCCCCCAAACGGGCAAAGAAGGGCCCACACGAGGCTGACTACGACGAGCCCATCAAGTCCGGCTACTACACAACCGATGACGATTGGTGCCTCGTCGACATGCTGGGCCTCGACTGGGACACAATCCATTTATGCCCACCGGAAGGTGAGGCCGAGTGGGTTGACATCCTTCAGGACGAGATGCCGAACTTCAAGTATATCAACATTCCCCAGCATCACAAGACTGCCTTGTCCGGCATTGTTCGTGGCAAGATCGTCCCGGGCCTGCAGGGCGAAGGATTGTGGTGCTCTACGAGGAGGATTCTCGAGGCCTGGAACAAGAAGACGAACAAGGATTATGGCCTCGGGATGCTCCTCACTGTCGTCAAGAACGACAATCGCAGCAGGTTCCAGCTGCGAATCGACCGCAACCACCCCCTCGCCGAGTACTACGGCCTAGGAGGGTACCCTACCCTTATTAGGGCGAACCAAGGCATCTCCAAGGATGCTATGAAAGGGGTGCCCGACTCGATCCTTGCGGAGGCCTGGTTCAGCATGATCCCAGAAGCAGAGATGGATGTGCATTCTGCCACCTGGGAAGGTCGGCCGGTTTTGCCCCTGGAGAAGATTCCACGCAGGCTCTACCACCGCACCTACAAGGATCGAGCCTTTGCCATCTTGGACTCCTGCTTTATCCCCGGGCACCACACCGCGAATGCCTTTGTGTATTTTGCCGACCGGGAGGTAGGGCCGGGAGAAAACGTCCCTGGCGTGAGGAGCGATCGCCCCGTCGAGATCGTCATCAACACCATGGAGGCCCTCAGTCAGGGCGCCGGACTGTTTTACTCCCGATCAGACGGCGTCCTCTGCCGAGAGGCTATCTCCGGGTCCACGGTCCTTTATATTCGTGACACAAGGACTGATGAAATTTTGTGGTCCGCCACGGATGGGCCCGAAGGACGGGAGGAGGAAGAGAATGCCCCTCAGGTAGAGGTGGCCGAATCTTCCGGAAGCATGGTTGTTGAAGCCGTGGGACCTCTCCAAGAAGCACAAGAGGAGCCTGATGTCGAGCATGAAGAAGCCCCGTTGGTCAAGGAGGAGTTCGATGTTCCCATCCTTGAGGAGGTCGAGAGCACCGTTCCTGAACTTCCACCTTTACGCGTTCGCTTCAACACCGACGCCGATGTCATCGAGGTGTCGCCTTCAGGAAGGAACCGTTTGACTGAAGGTCAGTTGCAAGTGGTCCCTGATGAAGGAATGGCTACCCGCTCTACGGCACCGGCAACCCAAGCGCCGCGTTCTGGATGGAACAGGGGAATCACGCAGGTTCAGTGCGTCAGTTGTGGCAAGCTCCGTCTCGAAGGTCAGCACAAGTGCTTCCACTGCGGCTACTACGTCACCCGTGGGGCCACCCAGAGCGCCTTCAGAATGTGGATGGCGCGTGAGCGCTCCCATGTCTTGGACGCTCTGGCGGAGCAGTTTGGGAAGGGCCTTTGGGAGTTGGATGCCGCGAAGATTCGCCAGGCCGCTGGAACGCATGATTTGAGGGGACAGCAGAGCGTAGATGGCCGAGCTATCATGTTAGCACGCCAGAATCTCAAAGGCTTCATGAAGCACGGCTACACGTCGATGGTGGACAAGTTCGACCAGGACGACACCTACGCGATCCACGCTATCAAGGGCGGCTGGACGAGAAGGCGGCTCACTATTCAGGACTGCGTGGCATGCGCTTATCTTCCCAATCAAGGTCGTTCCCGCGAACAACGTGAGTTGGGCTACGGCTCCAACAAAGCCTGGGAGAACAAAAAGGTCAATCATGAGGGACTGGCTCGTATGGTGTTCTTCGATAAGAATGCCGACGATCTCGTCCTGGCCGGCCTCATCGACGACCCCAACCTCGAACCTATGGGCTACGCTTGGCTCGGCAACTTCATGGGCGTGAAGGAATTCGCCCGGACCATCCGCGTCACCCGTGCGGTTTCCCACATCCTCACCTTTACGGAGGGCATCATTGGCATCCCGGACTTCGATGAGGAAGAGCATCTGGCAGTCTTTTTGGCCGAGATCCTCTCTGAGAATTATGGTGGGGCAAAGGAGACGTGCCGAAGGATGAAGGAATCGGCGGAAGCGTCCCGGGCCGCTCAGGCGCGGGCGGATGCAAGAAGGACCTCGCAAAATGCCCCCCGTTTTGGGGAGGCCGATCGTGACACGAATCGTGGCTGGTCGTGGAGCGACAACTCTTGGTCGCAGGGCGACTGGCATTCCTCAAGTTCCTGGCGTGATCGCCAGTGGCAGGATCAAGGATCCTGGTGGAGCTCAGGGAGTCGCACTACGGAGCACTCCCGTGGACCTTGGCGCTACGACCACCGAGATCGCAGCTGGTGAGTCCTGAGTTCCGCAATTCTGCTGGAGTAGCTTAGCATCTTGACCGTGACGCTCTGTTTTCCTTTTTTTTGAGGTCGGTGCTGAGTGAACCACTGTTTTGCACGAGCCACCTTTGTATCCCCGCCAGCGTTTCAAATTTCTTAAGCTGGTGCGCGGTGATCTGTGGCGTTGAACCTGAATTAAAACTCGGGTGAGCGCACTTTGAACATACAGTAGAGGAGCAAAATGCAGCACGTAGTGCTTGCCGTGGATTCGTTGACTGCGTTTCAGCATTCTCACGCTTCAACGAGGGGGGTGTATTTTATATCTGTGCATTCCCTCCACTTTTGCTTCCATGTATGTTGCACTTACCTGTGACGCTCAAGCCCTCTGAGTAAAAAGGTTAGGCGCGCCCCTGCTCATGGCTTAACGGATAACAACTGGTGGATTTCCCAAACTATACTGGCGAGCCAACAGGATTGGGCATTCCACGGGCTGTTTGCAGCAGATGTGGGGTCAGTTCTGCCGAAAGCAGGATTCAACACCGCAACCTCAAGGACTGAGAACCTCATGAGAAGCCACAAACAAGTTCAGGTCAGGATTTGAATCTTCCCCGCAGAGCCCGCAACCCCTCTCCCCCATGATCCTTGTCGCCCACGCATTCCCCACATCAGCTGCGCAGCGCCTACCCGCGGATCGCCCACAGCCATCCCACATGATCCTTGCACCTCCACAGAATCCGCGGATGCCCCTTTCTGGGCCCAACAAATTGGTGACAGGGACATTTTCATCTCGAGGGCGAGTGGATGCCGTACTGAGCAAATTGCCTCGTTTCATGTCTGTATGTCCGAAGTGAATGGCAGTTCGGTAGAGCGCCAGCTGTATTAGCTGCGTGGATTGACGATGTTGCTTTGAGTGCCTCAAGCAGGCGTGGAAGTTGAAGCCCTCGAGACATGGTGAGACATGGCCTGTCACCCCAGACCTCCTTCGCAAATTCAGGTTCGCCCGCCGCTTCCCCCGCGTTCAGCTTCGTGTCGCCTACCCGGGCAGCATGGGTCCTGGTTCGCCTATCAGAGGGGTTGGGCCAGGGTTTTCCTTGGGGAGGTTGCAACCGCGTTGTGGTCCTGGAGCTAGGATGAGGGATATCTAGTGGTTGCTAAGTTCTTTGGAGGGGTCGGCTTCCTGTCCGAGGTCGACTATGAGAGTTTTGATGCTTGAAAGAGAGTTGCAGGTACGATATAAAAAACACCATATGCCGGATGCCTTCTTCTTGCGATTTAAAGCAGTGCAGCCATTGTCAATTGCATGATTGTACCGGTTATCCACCAACAGAATGACGATTGATTATCCACCAACAGGATGACGATGTGCCGATTTTTTCATGATGGTTTGGTCATGACGGATAGTACAGCATGAGAAAGTTCAAATTGAATGTATGCTGACATGTTGAAGTGTTAGTGCGCTCAAATGTATACTTCGTTCATTTGCTTGATTTCGCTGATTATTGCTGCAAGCTTAGTCATTGCTTGTTATATTTTTTGCCTTGTCGTGATGCTGATAAAGTAGTTAGTGGCAACCACCTGGGATGTACTCAAGAGTGCCCGTTTCACAATTTATCTGTCTGTTGTCAAGGTGATCTCTATCCTCCTCGAAGATGACGGCGCCGGAAAAAAATGATGGAACAGAAGGGTTCTTTAGCACACTCCACCCCTGCATCTTGGCACGCTTGCTTTAACGTTTCAGCGCCAAGGCGGCAAGACTTCGTGCAGAAAATGTGTATTATACACATATGCATGTGAATATCCTTTCAGTTCCCCCCCCCCCCCCCCCTTCCCCATTCCAAGAACCCCAAAACGGGGCAAAGCAAGTCACTTCCCCAGCATCCTGGCTCAATCAGCAACAGCATGCTGGAGACGCTTGATCTCGATGATGAGGATGTTGGTCGGAAGCTAAAAGGCACGTCCTTTGTGCACATGCTTTAGCGCTGCGGTTCTTTCAACTGCCTCGGCCAAAAATGGCTTAGACTACTCGACGACTGGCCAAACCCGTTAGTAGCTAACTGACAGATCTTCAATGGTTTGAGCCCTGAGCCTCATCGGCCTTTCTCATGAAGCGAGAATGCTCTGCGTTGGTGAGTTTGGGGACCCTTCTCAAGATCCTCTATGCGGATCTAGCGGCCATACTAGGACAGAGCTTAGGGAACCCTTTTGGGGTAAACGGCGTTTCCTTGCATACCCAGGAGCCATCAGCCTGAACATTACCCACCCCCACGTGTGACGAGAGCACTTGGGGTTGGCATACATAGCACACACATACATATATTGGTATACCATTTATATGATGATAATAATAACAATAGTAGTATATTATTAATAAGTTACGTACTGTATATGTATAGAGCAATATGTTTTAACGGATGCTAAAACCCTGGAGGCAGCAGCCGAGTGCCGGAGCCGAAGTCTGGACCCACGCCGGGAGGCAACAACATCCAGATCGAGACCCGGGAAGGCAGAGCCTTTTGAAGGTTTTTTGTTTCTGTGTTTTGCTTGAAGGTTTTTTGGTTTTGTTATAGTGAATATCGCGAGGCCGGCTATCGTACCAGACACGTGGACCTGTACCATTTGTACGTCGTTGTTTTCTCCAAGACGACATGACTTCATTCATGCGTGGGGAGAGCGGTGAAAGTGATGAGGATAAGTGGTGAGAGCAGAGAGATCGGTGGGGGCGCGGGGCTGCTAAGATCGCAAGCTGGCGCGCTTTCAGATAAGCGGAGACGCCGTAAAAAATCCGAAAAGTCGAAAAGTCGAAAAGTCGAAAAGCTGTCGACTTTTCGACTTTTCGGGTCTCACCGGGACTTTTCTGTACTTTTCGACTTTTCATGGCTTTTCGACTTTTCGACTTTTCGACTTTTCGACTTTTCGGGCCTCGCCGGGACTTTTCGCTACTTTTCGACTTTTCGTGGCTTTTCGACTTTTCGACTTTTCGACTTTTCGGGTCTCGCCGGGACTTTTCTGTACTTTTCGACTTTTCATGGCTTTTCGACTTTTCGACTTTTCGGGCCTCGCCGGGACTTTTCGCTACTTTTCGACTTTTCGTGGCTTTTCGACTTTCGACTTTTCGACTTTTCGGGTCTCGCCGGGAACCCCAAACCCCAAACCCCAAACCCTAAACCCCGAATAGTCGAGACATTGACAAGCCCAACATTGATGTCATCGTGCACTGCTAGCCGCTATTGAACATCAACACGTAGCTTGGGCTAGGGTTTAGGGTTTAGGGTTTAGGGTTTAGGGTTTAGGGTTTAGGGTTTAGGGTTTAGGGTTTAGGGTTTAGGGTTTAGGGTTTAGGGTTTAGGGTTTAGGGTTTAGGGTTTAGGGTTTAGGGTTTTCTTGAGAGGTGTAAGGTCTGCCCTGAACCAGCCTTATACATATTTTTACAGTTTGGGGTTTGGGGTTTAGTCGTCCCTGTCCCCCCAATCCGTGAGGTCTACAGCTTCCAGGACAACTGCGTGTCCATCCAGTCCGTGCCGCCCAAGCCAACCCCCCCCCATCCCCCCGCCGAACGCATAAAAAAAAAAAACCTGGATTGCGGCACTTGACCTTACAACTTTAGGGTTTAGGGTTTAAGAGTCAAGGGTTTAGGGTTTAGGGTTTAAAGTTTAGGGTACAACTTGTAGACACTTCTCGAAACTTCTCACGTTTTCTCTGCTTTGCCCACTTTTCCGCCTGTAGACATTTCGGCTTTTGGACATTTGGGGACTTTCAAACTGCTCGGAACGTTCAGGATTGTTCGAAAATATTCATGCTTTCGACTTTTCCAACTTTTCGGGATTATTCCATAACCTTTCAGCTTTTCGACTTTTCGACTTTTCGACTTTTCGACTTTTCGTTTTTTGGTGACTTTTCGGACTTTTCGGTACTTTTCTCGCATTTTCGACTTTTCGACTTTTCGACTTTTCGACTTTTCGTTTTTTGGTGACTTTTCGGGTTTTTCGGCACTTTTCTCGCATTTTCGACTTTTCGACTTTTCGCCTTCGCGCCTTTTCGCGCCAAGCGTGTGCCCCGATCAACTTTTCGACTTTTCGGCTTTTCGGCTTTTCGGGTTTTTTTGGGCAGACTCCACTTGCGGCCGCGGACAGCCGTTCGCAATCACAGGCTGGGGCTGCGCGTGAGCTTTTTTTAATAAAGAACCCCACGGGAGTGGTGCAGGTGGTGGGTCTCTCGGAGGTGGCGGGGGTGCTGCGGCTGGGTCTGGTGTTGTGTAAATATCGGATATGTAGGGCATATAGGTATGTGTGGTATGTGGTGGCGCGCCGTGGTGTGTGGTGGAATGCAGCGTCGTGGTGGTGGCGTGGTGATCTGCGATAATCGTGTGTGGTGATGGCGCGTGGTGGTTCCTGGTGGAAGTGTGGTAAGGACGACGACGGGGAAAACAGTTTAAAACCTGTAAATGCTGAACTTGCCAGGGTTTGACGCATTTTCAGCGTATTACCGTGGAGCTAAAGATGCTGAGAACGGTGCAATTTACAGTACGCAAAGCACGTGAATACTGGAGTTGCTAGGATCTGGAGTAGTTTCAACGTAGTACTCAGGACCCCTGTCAATCACGCGAACGTACATAAATACTGTGGTTTACAGGTTTGGGCGCGGTTTTTGTACTGCTCGAAACGACTGCATCACGCCTCCCGCCATCCTTGTGAAAACTTTACTGGGGAACGCGTTCGCGCGAGCGCGCACGTGCGGGCGTGCGGGCGGGCGTGTCGCGTCTGCGCATGCGCACGATGGAGGGGAGCTGTAGATCCACCTCGCATCGGCACAGCAACTTTCTCTAAGACGTATATCGCCTGTTGCCCTCGCCCAAAGTAGCAAGGAGCCAGGTTTGACACAAAGATGGGCCCTGCCGATGTGCAGGTAGCATGGACTCCAGCACCATCACCAGATTCTTTGTCGGGTCTGAGGCGTCTGAGGAGTCTCCGCTGATCATCGTGGAAGAAAGGCACCTCGATGGGCCCTGCACACGTGCCGAGGACCTCTCAGTGCAGATCACTGAGCCTGGCTACTTGACAAGCATGCAGCCGACTTGACTTTTTTTTGGGCGAGGACCTGAGTATGGTTTCTGTTGCCAACCTTCCTCTGGTCCAGTGGGTTGCGGTTTTGTCAATGCCCTGCGCATCCTTGCGACATGGACCCTATGATCTCATCTAATTCCCAAGGCTGCGAGGAGCTCCGCTGCAATCAGCATTATTCTCGGGTCGAGCCTTGATTAAATTTAATGGATGTTCTCGTGTCGGTTGGGGCTTGGTTTTGGGAATGGCTTCGCACTTGATTTTGCTTACAGAGCACGCAGTTCCTGTAGCGAAGCAAAAGTCAGAAAGCCCAGCGAGCCTTCACCAACATAGCCAAGGAGAAAAAGGGGCCGCCGGGCTACCATGAGAGCAATGGGGTTACAGGCGAAGTGCAGAAGGTGAAGGAGAAGCTGCTGGAGATCTCTACAGTGCTGGAGAAGTCGGACTGGCTTGGGCACGGTTTCAGGGTCTGTTGGAAAGGCTCCCAGTGGAGGGTTGGGCGTTGCACAAATGCCTTAAACGCGTGTCAGACACACAGATCTTCGAAGTCGACGCGTGCTACAGACAGCATGGTTCAACCGACACATCTAACAAAGCAGGTCTCTGCAAGTCGACACTCTCTCTATGCAAGGATGCAGATCACATACAGTTGGATCTCTTTCTGTTGTTGGGACTGGCACCACCAGGCTCCACAGACACAGATGTCATGCCTAGTTCATGATGTTGGCTGAGGACAGGAAGTTTCTACGAAGCCAAAGCCTGATTCGGCTATGCCCCACGCACCCTAGTAAACCCCCCAACCAACAACTCTCAAACCCGCGACCAAATCCTGAAATCTCAGCCGGAAATCACAACTCGAACCCCAGTCAAGTTTTCACTTGTCCAGGCACTGGCCAAATAGACTTTGTGACCAGACCTGCACGAGGGCGCGGGCGGAGGGCTGTGGGAGCAAGAGTGTGTGTAATGAGAACGACTACCGACTACTAGCAAGGACCATATGACAGGAGTAGTCACAACAAAAACCACCCATCATCATCATCATCATCATCATCATCATCACAGTCATCACAGTCATCACAGTCATCACAGCTAACAGCTCATCATAGCACGCTCCCCTTCACAACGTTTGGCGGGGCATCGCACGTTGATGCACGGCGGCTTTGTGTGGTGGCCTTTGTTGGCACAGCTCGAATAATTGAGCGCGGCGGTTAAGTAGCTGATATGCGCCCTTTCTCGCTTCCGTCCGATATTTGAGACATTGCCTGCCCGACCAACGTGTGCATGTGGAGTGCAAGTCGGTTAGAGTTCCGCCCCCATGCACTCCCATTGAAATGGCTTGGCTTTGGCCTGATGCTTTGTTTGGGCGGAGGTGTGGGAAAGGCATTGCGAGCTCTGTCTTTGGATCCAATGCGAACGTTGGTGGGCAGAGGCGTTCTAGCGTTTTCCGCCCATGTCATGTTTGATGTCGAACTGCAAAAACTGTGTATGCAGCTTCTCTTGTGTTTATGCTCTTGATGATCGCGATCTGAGTCACGCCACTCCTTTGTATTCAGTACCGTGGACCGTGGCTTGCATCTCGCAAGTTGTGACTTGCAGAGGACAGCTTGGACCAGTTCCTGGACCTCTTTCCCAGTGCCTTCAAAATTCGCCGGCTGCTGAACAGCGAAGCTGGCGCCTCCGCCAAAGTCGCGCCGGAGAGTTTCAAAAAAGGCTAAAATGTCCTGTGAGGATGTTAATCTTCCAAGGTTTCCGACTAGGGCTGGGCCTAGGGCTGCGGGCACGCTGCGACCATGGCATGCGCAAATGCACGTCGTGAAAAACAACCTTGCTTCTTGCATCTGCATGCCACACCTAGCGGAAGACCACGCACAAACACCATGAAAGCTTTTGTTTTCCTCTGGGGGAGCGGGTGCGGCTCAGCTTGCGCCCTGGACTATGTTGGTTTCGTTGCCGATGTCTGCTGCAATTCCCCATGCGCTCCTGAAGATAGGCAGTCGACGGACATCCCGAAACTTTATCCCGACTGAAGTGCGTGCGGGCATGCATGAGAGAGAGGAGACGGTGTGAGCATATGCCTCGGAAGAACTCCGCAGTCTGGAAACACAATTCCAGCCGTCGAGAAAATGAGGGCGCTAGATTCCGGACAGTGCCCTCCGAGTATTCCGATGCAATCAGAGGCACTCACGACACTTGCGACGTGAGGGCGTCCAGATGCACAAGGGGTTGGTTTAGGACGACTAGGACGACCTCAGAGAGATGTTTGTGCCTTAATATCAAGCGGCTCAATCTCAATCTTTGAAAGTCCGGTGTTGCAAGTTTCAATTTGTTCCAGCCCTTTTGGCAGGGGCGAGCCCGCCATGTCTCGTGCTCCTCTTCGCAGCGTGGTGTTGGTTCCGTTCCTGGTCGTCACCTCCCTTCGGGCCTTCTGTGGCCTGAGGCTCTGGCCGCGGGTGCCTGTTCCTGTCAGGCAAGCCGTGAGTCTGAGTGCTTTCAGCAAGGAGGAGCTGCTAAGCGCCGCGCCAGAGGAGCGCTTGAAGTCCATCTATGGCCTGGATGAGGGCGGCTTTGAGAGTGTAGCAAACGAGATCACGCTTGCCTTCTATAGCGGGAAGAAGATTCCCCTCTGGCTCACGCAGTCTGTCTGGGCAGCCGCCAAAGATGCGGACATCTCTGCCACTGGGGCGTTCATCTGGAAATGTGTGTTTGAAAGTCTTCATGCCCCTACGTATCCTCTAGAAAGTCCTCAAGAACTTTTGTTTTAGCGGTAATTTCAAAGCATCCCCAAACCCACCCCAGATCATGGAGTTCAAGAAAGCCGGGTCCTTTCGCACCGGGACAGCTGTGGACTTCTCATCAGATTTGGACCTGAACGTCGTCACCAAAGAGAACATCACCCGGGCCCAGCGAAATGCATTCAAGGAAAGTTTGGCCTCGTGCCTAGCGCAGGACACGGAGGGCCAAGATTGGCAGGTCGAGCACATGGGCAAGAAATGCATTACCCTTGAGGCCAGGGATGGCTCTGGGTATGTGGACATCGCGTTTATGAACACCGCGTTCGAGATTCTGGGCAGCACTTTGGGGTATGTGAAATCATTAGAGTGGGGCCATCTTGGGCTCGAAAAATACATACTGTGAACTACTCTGCCGTTTTGAGAGGGCATCTTTGAGCCCTGGAGTTCTGGAAGGTTGGGGAAAAGTTGGGAAGCTCAACCAACCCAGGAGCGGTATAGTCGACCGCGGCGACAATGTCGACTTCTTCTCGGAAAGCCCAACCTCTCAGCAGGCCGTTAAGATGACCAAGTCACTTGGTCAACTTTTGGACTTTTTGGGGTTTCCTTGCTTTAAGGGCATAAGCTGGCCTGTGGCTAACTCGCCTGCATATTGGAGAAGTAAGGTTAGCTTTCTTCAACGCTCGAGGCCTCTGTGGATTTCACCTCGAGAACTTGGCCCGAAAGCTAAGCTCAGACTTGTCAGCGCTGGAGCTCTTCAAGAAGATGCTGGAAGAGGTGGAGGGTTGTCCCTGCATTCGGGTCCAGGATGATTCGCCCCCTTTTAATAAGAGCCGCAAGCATTCCCGTCTCAGGCAGTTGCATAGCGCGGGCTCAAACAATGATTTTAGAACCCCCAGGTGCAGGAAAGCGGAGCATCGTTGGAAGAGGTGATTCAAGAGGCTGTGGCTGAGGCCGAGGAGGACCAGGCAGGAAGGCAAACCCAACTCCAGGCACAAGTCCAGCGGATGCAGGAAGTCATTCGCAAGTCCGGGTCGTGAATAACAATCCATTTCTGCTATATTAAACGGTCGGGTTTTGGAAGGGCAGCGCCACGACGTATTTTTCAAAAGACACAAGATCTAAGATTTCTTATAATTAGGGGTGCTAGATGGGAAGGGGTAAACGCCCAAATATTCAGACGAATGGAAAACAAATTAATTATAGACATCCCTTTAGAATAACACTTCACGTAAACCCTCTACTTAAACTAATTAGCGTGTAAGGTTTAGGGGTTAGAGCGATCCAGCTTCGGGAAGCTTAAGTAGTATAGGCGGCCTGCGGCTTAGGTAAGACTGTGGAACATTGGGTTATACACCCTGAACCCTACACCTGCAACCCTGTGGTTGCTCTTGATGCATACTGCCGAAAATTCTAAAG